TCAAATCCTTCCCATTCCACTCTCCTGACACATTTTTATCATCCTTGCCCCTATGATAGCCTTTTAACTCATCTTCTAGCAATTTTTTGTTGTTGTTGTTGAGATGGAGTCTCTCCCTGTTGCCCAGGCTGGAGTGCAGTGGCGTGATCTTAGCTCACTACAACCTCCACCACCTGAGTTCAAGCGATTCTCCTGCCTCAGCCTCCCGAGTAGCTGGGACTACAGGAGTGCACCACCACACCTGGCTAGTTTTTTGAATTTTTAGTAGCAATAGGGTTTCACCGTATTAGCCAGGATGGTCTCCATCTCCTGACCTCGTGATCTGCCCGCCTCAGCCTCCCAAAGTGCTAGGATTACAGGCATGAGTCACCGCGCCCAGCCGCAATCTTTTATTTTTTTTCACCCCGTTTTCTTTTTCCTTTTAGACAGCAGGAGAGGTGATTTATTGAATGGTTCTTACACTCGGCCACAAGTAAACACAGAAATAGTCCAGAATGTCACAGGTCCAGGGCAAAGGACCAACATGGGCAGTTTTGGTTATGAGCAAGGTGGGTCTCAGAGGTGATGGGCGATCAGAGGTTGATGAAGTTCTAGATCCGCTGAGACAAGCTCTGACAGTAGCATGCAATCCACAACTTGTCCCAGCATCCCCAGCGGCTGGCATTCCATGGTTTCTGCACCTGTGGCCCCCACAGTGCAACAGGCTAGTGGTTTACTTGGACCTGCCTCATCTTTCTTCTTCTGCAATTCAGCCTGTGCAACATTCGCTTCTTCCTCTACTTGGCTCTCATGGCGCAGAGGTTTCCAAGAAAATGGCGCTCCTTTTTTCTTTACATTTTTTTAGAGATGGCGGGGGGAGGTCTCATTTTTTGCCCAGGCTGGTCTAGAACTCCTGGACTCAAGCGATCCTCCCCCTACAGCATCCCAAAGTGCAGAGATTATAGGCGTGAGCCACCATCCAGCCCTCTTTTCAATAAAGAGCAAAATAAGCTTTAAAAAATGTAAATCCAGAGGGGCGCAGGGGCTCACGCCTATAATCCCAGCACTTTAGGAGGCAGATCACGAGCTTAGGAGTTCGAGACCAACCTGATCAACATGGTGAAACCCTGTCTCTACTAAAAATACAAAAATTAGCTGGACATGGCACCTGTAATCCCAGCTACTCAGGAGGCTGAGGCAGAATTGCTTGAACCCAGGAGGTGGAGGTTGCAGTGAGTCGAGATCACACCACTGCACTCCAGCCTGGCCAACAGAGTCTGTCTCAAAAAAAAAAAAGTAAGTAAATCCGGAGGGGTGCGGTGGCTCATGCCATGGCATCCCACCCCACCCTTTCTAGTCTTTGTAGCAGTTGATAATTCTCCACTGAAAATCTTTCCTTCCACTGGGCTTTGGCAGCAGCCATCTCTGCCTGGCATGCTCTTCCCCAGAATCTTCAAAGGCCATATCCTGTTTGTAATTTCATCTCAATTAAAATCTTTGAAGGCCTTCTCTATCTTATCTAGAACAGACCCTATTCCTTAGTTGTTCACTCACCCTATTCATTTCTATCTTATCAGTTCCCATAATCCAATGCTAATTTTTTTTTTTTTTTTTTTGCAAACAGGTCTCGCCTGTATTGCCCAGGCTGGAGTGCAGGGGTGTGATCATGCCTCATTGCAGTCTCAACTTCCTGGGCTCAAGGGATCTTCCCGCCTCACCCTCCCAAGCAGCTGGGACTACAGGCATGTTCCACCATGCCTGGCTAATTTTTCAATTTTTTTTGTAGAGATGGGGCCTCACCGTGTTGCTCAGGCTGGTCTCGAACTTCTGTGCTCAAGAGATCTGCCTGCCTCGACCTCCCAAAGTGTTGGGACTACAGTTGTGAGCCACCAGGCCGGAGGAAATGCTGACCTTAATACTTGTTTACTTTTTTTTTTTTTTTTTTTTTTTGAGATGGAGTCTCACTCTGACCTCAGTTCACTGCAACCTCCATCTCCCAGATTAAAGTGATTCTCCTGCTTCAGCTTCCCGAGTAACTAGAATTATAGGTGTTAGCCACCATGCCCGACTAATTTTTATATTTTTAGTAGAGATGGGTTTCACCATGTTGGCCAGGCTGGTCTCGAACTCCTGACCTCAGGTAATCTGCCCGCCTCGGCCTCCTAAAGTGCCAGGATTACAGGTGTGAGCCACCATGGCTGGCCGTTGTTTATTTTTTGACTGTTCTGTCCCACTAGATGTTAGTGTCATGAGGCTGGGAACCCGGTCAGTGTAGTTTACACCTAGACCTCAAGTCCTAGGATTGTGTCTAGCTCATAGGGGTTGCTCAATAAATGTTTGTTAAATAAAGCAATACAGTTAGACAGTTGGATGTGCCAGGGTTCATTGAGGCTTGAGGATCAACCACAGAAGTAAAATGGAGAGGGAGGGAGACAAACAGCCAAGTTTGCTGAGGGCGTATGGAGAGAAGGGTCATAGTTATTATTCTCTAAGCTCAGAAGACAAGAGAAAACAGGAGCGAAACGATGGATGGTGAAAAGGTGGTACCCAGAACAGGGTCTTGTCAGGCTGGAAGTGCTGCATGGTGCCAACACTAAAGCTGGTAAGCTGGCAGGAGAAGAAACGGCGGTCAGGGTGGCTGATTCGAAATCAAGTATTGGGGTGTGGTGTGATTTTGGGTGGCAAGACTGTCCCGCAGGAACATGGAAAGGCCAGCAGGTGGGAAGGGGAGGAGAGGAAGTCGAGTGGGTGACAGGCAGGGCTACTGGATGGGTCACCCGCATGGGTAGTTAGGTCCCCGAGGTGGAGGGCTGGAGTAGAAGGAAAAGAAGGGGTACGAGGCAGGGGCCAAAGTCCGTGATGAGTGGGTCTGCGGGTCACAGGACCAAAGGGGAGTAGCAAGCGCTGCAGCTGATGGCGTTAGCCTCAAAAGCACTAGGGCCCAGGTGCAGTGGCTCACACGTGTAATCTCAGCACTCTGGGAGGCCAAGGCAGGAGGATCCCTTGAGGCCAGGAGTTTGAGACCAGGTTACACAACAAAGTGAGACTGGCCCCCTCGAACTTGGTACCTAGTCACGCGGGTCACAAGGAGAGTCACCCGTGGTGCGCCCCACTGTTTCCTACACCTGATGGATCACCAAGGCCTAAATATTCTTACGGACACTCCTTAATCCAAGCCTGAGTGACTGCCACAATCTTCATCAGGGTCTTCAGGCAACTGGTTTTTTTTTTTTTTTTTTTTTTGAGACTGGAGTCTCGCTCTTGTTCAGGCTGGAGTACAGTGGCGAAATGTTGGCTCTGACTCCCGAGTTCAAGCGATTCTCCTGCCTCAGTCTCCCAAGTAGCTGGGATTACAGGCGCCTGCCACCACACCCAGCTTATTTTTTGTATTTTTAGTAGAGATGGGTTTCACAATGTTGGCCATGCTGGTCTCGAACTCCTGACTTCGTGATCCACGTGCCCTGGCCTCCCAAAGTGCTGGGAATACAGGCATGAGCCACTTCCTTTTTTTTTTTTTTTTTTGGGACAGAGTCTCCTTCTTGTCGTTTAGGCTGGAGTGCAATGGCACGATCTTGGCTCACCGCAATTTCCGCCTTCCAGGTTCAAGCGATTCTCCTGCGTCAGCCTCCTGAGTAGCTGGTATCACAGGCGCCCGCCACCACACCCAGCTAAATTTTGTATTTTTAGTAGAGACGAGGTTTTGCCATGTTGGTTTGACCAACATGGTTTTGCTGAGGCAGGAGAATCACTTGAACCTAGTAGGCGGTGGTTGCAGTGAGCCAAGATTGCGCCATTGCACTCCAGCCTGGGCAACAAGAGCAAAACTCTGCCGCAACTATCAATCAATCAGTCAATCTTAAGAAAAGAAAAGAAAGAAACTAACTAGGAATAGAAGGAAATTTCCATAACTTGTTAAAAGGTATTTATAAAAAATTTAGAGCATAAAACTTAAAAGTGAAACATCAAAACAGTCCCTTTGGTCTATTTAGCAGGGGGAAGAGGTTCACACCGGTACTCCTAACACTCTGGGAGGCCGAGTTGGAGGACTGCTTGAACCCAATAGTTTGAGACCAGCCTGGGCAACATAGAGAGGACCCTGTCTCTATAAAACAAATAAAAAAATAGCAGGGTATGGTGGTGCGTACCTGTAATCCCAGATACTAAGGAGACTCAGATGGGAGGATCCTTTAAACCCAGGAGTTCCAAGCTGCAGTGAGCTATGATCACTGCGCTCCAGCCTGGGCGACAGAGATGCTGTCCATAAAACAGTAATAATAACAGGGCCAGGCGTGGTGGGTCAATAATAATAAGGCCAGACGCCGTGGCTCACGCCTGTAATCCCAGCACTTTAGGAGGCTGAGGCGGGCGGATCACTTGAGGCCAGCAGTTTGAGTACAGCGTGGCCAACATGGTAAAACCCCATCTCCACTAAAAAATACGAAAATTTGCCGGGTGTGGTGACGCGTGCCTGTAATCCCAGCTACTTGGGAGGTTGAGGCAGGAGAATCACTCGAACCCGGGAGGCAAGGGTTGCAGTGAGCCGAGATCGCGCCACTGCACTCCAGCCCGAGCGACAAAGCGAGACTCCATCTAAAAAAAAAAAAAGGAATCTTTTTGTGCACTCTTCATGTAAAGAGAATTATCAGCCTATAATGCCTCTATTTTGGCGTTTGGTTAAAATGCAGCACACCAGTACTAACCTCGGCTTTCTAACAATGCCTAATTCGCACAGCATGTGGCAGTGTTAGACGGCTTTTGGGCGCTCGCCAACGACTAGGTGTCTACCATTTCTTTCGCCCCTTCGCTCGGGTATCCACGGCTTCTGTCCAGAGGCTGTATCTTGACCCTCCGCGACCTCTTTGTCATGGCGTCCGCGACTTGAGCTGGCAGCCGGGCGTCGACCTTCCCAAAATGGCGGCGGCCGGGCCGAAGGCGCCCAGGGGGCGGGGTTCCGCCGCCGGGGGCGGGGCGGGAGGCCGCGGGGTCGGGCTAGCGGGCTGGAGGCTTCCCAAGTCAGCAGTCTGAGCGCGCCTGCGCCGAGCGGCCCTGCGCGCAGTGAGGCAGTGGCGGGGGAAGGCACCGGTGGGGCCGACGGGCGAGCTGAAGGAGGGAAGCGGGCGAGCGAAGTCCCAGTGCGCGCCGCGGCAGCCCGGGCACCCTCCCCTTCCGGGCGTGAGTCGCTGTGAGAAGAGCTGAAGCGAGCGGACTCGCACCGGCAGCGAGGCGCCGCTCCCGCCGCCTCAGCCCGGCCTCCTTCGGCTCCGGCGCTCGGGTCGCGGGGCCCGGGTTCCTCAGCACACCCCGCTCCAGCCGCCCCCAGATCCTGTCCCCAGCCCTTCGGAAGCCCCGGCGCCAGCCCGGGCCCTCGGCGGGAGGATGACGGAGCTGCAGTCGGCACTGCTACTGCGAAGACAGCTGGCAGGTGAGCAGGCGGGCGGCGGGGCGCCGGGCCCGGCCGCGATCGCGGACAGCCGCTGCCCCGTCCCTCCTCTCCTCCTGCCGGGCCGGCGGCCGCACGGCCGAATGGGCGCGGGCCTGCGAGGGTGGGGACTCGAGGCTCCGGTCCCGGCCGGGCCCGCTCGTTCTCGCCCGGCGCTCGGAGGGCATTGGGGGCGGGGACGCGACCCAGCTCCGGCCCCGGGGGTCGAGGGGAGGCGGCCCCCTCCCCCATTGCCGGGTGGGACGTTGCGGGGGGGTGCTGAGTGCGGTGTCCCGGCCGCGGCCGCCGGCCTGGAGGGGCGGGTCCCGGGCTCAGGTGCGGCCGGGGCCGCCGGACGTTCGCGGCCGGGCGGAGCGTCCGGGCCCAGCGCGGCCGTGAGTCGCAGGCTCGGCGTCTGAACCGCGGGGGGCGAGGGCGGCGGAAGGGACCGGCCCTGGCGGGATAGGTGAGGCGCACAAAACTTCTCCCCGGGCGGCGCTGCGTCCGCGGAGTTGGGGCCGGTAACAAAAGCGCCGGCCTCCGCGGCCTCCACGCCAGCGCGGGTGCCCGAGACCCTGGCGGGGTGCGGGACGTCGCCTCGCCTGCCTCCGCCTGGCACGGGCTCCGGCTGCGCCGCTGGCTGGGGGAGGGTAGGAGCGGGCCGCGGGGACAGCCGCTCGGTGGCCGGCTCGGGGCTTTGTGCTCGCCGCGATTCCGGCTCCTGCGCAGGCCCGCAGCCCCCGGAGCTGCGCCCGCAGGCTGTGGCCCGGGGCGGCGGCCGGGTCTGCCTCCCCGCGGAGCCTGCGGCCCCCCTCCCCCATTGTCCCGGCCTCAGGCCGTTTGCGGCTTCCAGGTTGACTTTTTAGGGGGTTGGCTCCTACTCTGCTAGGACTGTGTGCGCGGAGCATGCGCACTGGAGACGTACGTGTGCGGAGTGGAAGGGGGAGGCGGGTTGGTGGCTGCACAATGCCGCCCCACGTGCTGCCAGATTTAAAGAGAAATGAACCAGCAGTTAGCCCTGCTGTACAACGCCCGGCGTGTGTCATTCTCAGTTCAAGGGATCTTCCCCGTCCCCACTCTACAACCAGCAGCCTGTAACCCTCAGCAGACGCCAAAGACTGGAATGATGAAATCTGTCTTTGAAATACATTTACTGAGAGTTTGAGGTGTTCCTTAAATCACCTTTATGGCATCTCAAGGAAAAGGTTGTCAGGGGCTCTTACGGATTGTATAATACGGTTTATTATTAGACCATGAGCAAGTAGGTTTGGACAAGTATTAAAGTTCTAGATGCTCAGGGGGAGTTACTTGGAGTGAATGGAGGTACTACAGGATACCCATCACAAATAATGTACTGGAAAAGGAATGTGGCCGGGCGTGGTGGCTCACGCCTTTAATCCTAACACTTTGGGGAGGCTGAGGTGGATCACCTGGAGGACAAGAGTTCAAGACCAGCCTGGCCAACATGGCGAAACCTCTGTCACTACTAAAAATACAAAAAGTTAGCCGGGATTGGTGGAGGGCGCTTGTAAATTCCAGCTACTTGGGAGGCTGAGGCAGGAGAATTGCTTGAACTTGGGAGGCGTAGGTTGCAGTGAGCCAAGATCGTGCCATTGCATTCCAGCCTGGGCAACAGAGCCAGACTGTTAACAACAACAACAACAACAAAAGGCAATAAGATAACTCTGTTGCATCTTGTTTCTGAAGTGTAGTGGCACAACCTTGGCTCACCGCAACCTTCGCCTCCTGGGTTCAAGTGATTCTCCTGCCTCAGCCTCCTGATTAACTGGGATTACAGGCAGTGCGCTATCACGCCTTGCTCATTTTTTTGTATCTTTAGTAGAGACAGGGTTTCACCTTGCTGACCAGGCTGGTCTCGAACTCCTGACCTCGTGGTCCGCCTACCTTGACCTCCCAAAGTGCTGGGGTTACAGGCATGAGCCATCGCGCCCAGCCACATCTTAACATTTGTAAACACCTTTTCTGTATAGTTTTTGTCTGGAGAATGGATTTAAGATTTCCCTAATAATTCTTTTTTTTTTTTTTTTTTTTT